GCTAAGCTTGCCCCACCGGCCAAGAGCGGAAAGCCACCGCAAGGGAACGGGGGCTCCCCCGGCCGGCCGGCACGTCCGGGAGGAGGGGCCGCGGGAGGCGGGGCCGGGCGGCTTCCGTGCCCCTCCTACCCCCCCTCCTGCCCGCCTGCTCTGCTAAAACTCTTGTCTAACCCTCCTGCCTGCCCTCGTCCCGATCTGTTGCAAAGGAAATGCCCTTCCCGGTCAAAGTCTTCAGGTCGCGGTGATGCGGTTTTGTTCGCAGCCCGGGCTGTTTGGAGGCTGTAATGAAAGCGGTTAATATGCATATCCTGGTCTAGATGGATGTGTGCGTGTTTGGATGTCTGTGTAAGCATCTCCTTGCTACCTGAGTGATCGTGTTCAAATCATAGCCAAACACAGGGTGTTTGCTGAATGGGAGTTGTATGGACAAGCCTGTCTTGCTGAGAGCACAGCTTAGCCTTTCTTCCCTCTGCAATTGGTTGCTTAAGTAATGTTTTTCCTTGGAAATTTTTAATTTCTTCTTTCAATTTTTTTTTCTTATTATTGTTGGGACAGTGTTTAGCAGCAAAGATGGCCCAGGGATTAAGGAATAAAAACCTTTTTTTCACAGAATCACAGAGTCATTAAGGTTGGAAGAGACCCCTAAGATCATCAAGTTCAACCATCAACCTAACACCAGCATGCCCACTATATCCTTATAGAGGATGAGAATACTATGAGTACTTAGAATAATACAGTTTTCTGTAAATAAAAGGCATTTTATTTTTAGAGGTGGTCCATTACCTGAAGATATACCAAGGGCAGGTTATTTTACACATTGTAATGTTTAAGGTTGGATAATGAAGACAGGGAGTCTGGTCATGTCTCTGGCAGACATCTGCTGTCTAAAGAAAGAAACATAAACTGAGGTGAGATTTCTTGCTTCTCTGAGATCCTGCCCTGGCAGGGGTGCAGTGCTGGCAGCAGCAGCAGTGGAGGCACATCCTGCTCCACCTGGACCTGCTGCCTGCCCCACGCTGTGCCTAACGCCATGGACCTACGCCAAGGGACGGCCTTGCTCTTCATGCCCAGTCAGTCCCCGACTCCTTTGTTAACACAGCTGGGTGGTGGCTTGTATTTGTATGTAAATGTCATAAGAGACTGAGCCCATCATATCATTTCACATGAAATGGCCAATTTGGGGAAATTCCTGATGTTTTGCTGTGATTCTCGCATTCTTGGTGCTTTTTTCCCTGAAATTTTCAGCTGCAGTTGTTTAAGAAAATGTTTATTTCTAGCCAGGTTTCTCTCCTTTGGTAAACTGGTAAAATTATTTTCACTATTAAAAGAAAAAGCCTTAAGAGAATATGAACACTTAAGGTATCACCTATTAACTGTATCACATAGTGAATGAACTATGGGAATGAATCCTAAAAGCAAGCACAGATATCACTTCTGCTATGCATTAGGCAAAGTCGCAGCTGCCACCTGCCTTTGCTTACGTAGTGGTGGTGGGAGCAGCTGATCTGAAAGAAGCTCAAGAAAAAGGCTGAAAGTCTGTCTGGGCTGGTTGTAACTGGAGGGTGAAAAGTATGGTTCTTCACCAGGACTGTTGGGATAGAGCTACAGGTTAGGGATGTTGGGGTACTGGAATTATAGTGAACGTGGAGACCTGTGCAGAAACAGGCATAGATGATTATGGGAATATGAGAAGGGCTGATGTGATACATAATATGAGCAGGGCAGAAGAGAAACTATGCCACACAAGTGCCCTGGTCCAGCAACCATTCTTTCTTTTTCTCCTTCGTACTCCTTCTTTGTAGGGAGGCTAAGAGAAGATAGCTGGACCCCATTAGACCTGTGTCATGGAGGTAAAGGTGTTTTCCTGCCTCTGTAGAGCACCTCTTTGCTTGGGAGCTGTTGCCCTGCTGGGTGAAACACCTCGGTGCAGATAAGAGGAACTTCAAATATATATATGTAAGTACACTTCTAGGTATTCACACTCACATACACTTACATATAGTTAAATCCCTTCCCCCCAGACTACTCATTGTAAACCAATATTTGGAGAGTCCAGGAGCCTGGCTCCCGACCCACCTTGCTTGGTGGCAGCAATGAGGCCAAGAGGACTGCCTCCTTCTAATTTGGACTGCACACTGAAGTGACACCCCTGAAGCAGGGGCAGGTGAATCAGGACAGTTCCTTTGTCATATTATCCCCAGGCACAGCTTCTGCCTTAAGCCCTGGCCAGGCCCTTCTCTGGAACCTGTGACTACATAGTTAGTATAGCAGATAGTTTAAAATAATCCACTTATGTCAAACATTGAATATACAGAATAAGTCATAAAGGAAAAGCAAAACTGATAAGAAACTGTATAAAATATTTGCCAAGGCCCTTAAGTTGCTTGGGTCATGGTAATACAAACATCAGATTTACATATTCTAATGTAGATACGTACAACCATACACCATTTCAGGTGCATTAATTTAGTTACTGGCTGCAGGACACTACAGAGAACTTGTGTTATAGCCACATTAGAGGCAAAATAAGGAATTATCTTACACAACTAACACATGAAAATATACCTTTATTTTAATAATGTTTTCAGTCATAAAATTGGACATGGTAGATGTATATGTTGTTTGAAAGATATATTAAAACTCTTCCTGGGTAGTGATATACTGCAAAGTCCACTGCACATAACTGAAAAGGACATGAAGTTAAATGTGTTGATCCAACGGAGCTAATTTTAAAATTTGTTCAAGATTGATGGATGATGTTAAATGACATTATTGCAAGCACTGGTTAGGCAGTAGTCCTACAGACATCATGCACTTTATCTTCAAACTCTGCATTTATCTTCAAAAACTGCTAGTCCTTCCTTAAAAGCCACTGAGGCTACTCACAGGTGTGATTTTAATCATGTGTGTGTATAGTGCACAGCTTTGGTCTCGTTAACAGATGTGAGGTGCAATTCTCACATGATAGCAGCATTATTTTTGTGTTAAATTAAATCTTGGTGGCAGTTGTAGAGGCAGCCAAGAGAAATGATGGTGAGCTCAGTGCAGAGCTTTCAATGATGTTGGGCATCGTGTAAGTGGAGAACAGACTTGTTCAGCAGCTAGCACACACCAGCAATGTCCCATTTTTGTAAACAATTATTTTGCTTTATACAAGTGTGTGTCTTCTTTGCTGATTTGACTGTCAAATATGAAAACTGTAAGTCTGAAATCTCGAAGTATGTTTCCTTTATTTTTGTACTTTATTGGAGCCACCCGTGAACTTTCTGGGCTGCTTTGCCTCACTCCCAGCACAAGGACAGTCAAGTGGTGATGGTTATTTTCCCGGTGAGCCTCACTGTTTGGGGGCTGCAGTCTTGTGGGGAGGATGGAATGATGTCTATGAGCCCACCAAGCAACCCATGGGAGAACAACGTGCCTCTGCCAAGGGTGGCTTTCCTAGGCAGCCTGGGATAGAGCCAGCACTTTGGGATTTGGCAGGTTTGCCTTAGGACAGAAAAAAATTAATATACATAATTAAAATTATAAATTAGTGCTGTTTTGCCCTCCTGAAGGCAGGGGCAGCTTTCAGGAGAGCTAAGGCGAGGGTCAGGTCCCCCACAGACCCAGGTGCTCGCAGACCTGAGCGGAGGGGAGAGGCCTCCTCTCTCACAACAACTATCTCCTCAGCTCCCTGCCCTGCCCTTCCCA